GGCAGCTCGACGAGAACGTGAATTTCACTGCTTCTGACCCTGGCCACTCCAAAGATGTTAGTCACCGGAGCCCAGTTCAGGAGACAAATCGTTCCCATCGAAAAAGACGGACTCAGGAAGACCTTCAAGAATTGATGTGGTGCTATCTTATAATAAGTGGCACCACCGAAATTCGAGTATTTGTCCCTAAGGAATCGGGTAGAAACCTCGGATAAATACTTAAAAACTCCGACAAGTAGCCTTGTCGTGTTTAATGGTGGATAATAATAATAATAATAAATATGATAATGATAATGATAATAATAATAATAATATTTTGAAGAAAAAAAAATTAATTTCCGTTTGTTAAACAAATCCGAATCAAATTGTTTAAAAGTCGACATAAGAACATTAAAAAAAAAAATGATGATGATGATGATGATGGTAATGATGACGTAGATGATGACGATGACGATGATGATGGTGGTGGCGATTATGATAATGATGGTAATAATGGTGGCAATGACGTAGATGATGATGATGATGGTGATGGTGGTGGTGGTGGTGATGATGATGACGATGAAAATGATTGTAACGACGGGAAAGAAGAAGACGTAGAAGAAGAGGAAGAAAAAAGTAAGCAAAATGCAACAACACAGCAAAAAAAAAAAAAAAACAAAAAAATTTAAAACAAAAAATTTAAAAAAAGGAAAACATCTGGTGCCACTTTTTTTTTTTTTGAGTCAGGTGTTTTGTATAAAAATATTTGAGCTCGTGTCGATTGAGTTAGTATAAGAAAAAAAATTTTTTTTTTTTTTTTTCTTACGTGCGATTAATTTTAAATTTTCCCGTAAAAGGAAAAAAAAAGGAAAAGAAAGGAAAGGAAAAAAGAAAAGAAAAGGGAAAGAAAAAAACACGATGGTAATCTTTTATTACGGCATAAAACTATTATTATTATTATTATTTATAGACATTTAAATTTATAGTCTTTATAGTCGATAAAAAGAAAAAAAAATATTTTTAACGTTTGTGCTGCTATATATATATATAGAAATAAAAATGTCAGTGACCCGATTAGTTTCCTTGTTTGTTTGTTTGTTTGTTTTTATCTTGTTTTTCTTATTATTTTGTTGTTTAAAACGTGGAACTAACCAAAAAGCGAAACGAACCTCAAATAATAATAATAATTACAATTGTCTGAATGTTTTAATTATAATTTGACCTAAATTTTATTACTTAATTTATATATATTATCAAATACTACAAAACTAACAACAACAACAACAACGACAACAATACAACCGGAAATATTTTATATATTTTAAGTTTAATTTAACGACGGAGTCGACATTTTTTTTTTTTTTAATTAATAAAATTTTCCTCGTCTAATTCTTTGTTTAATTCGTCCGACATTTTCTTTTTTTTTTGGGAAGTATTCTATACGTTTAATGACGTCACAATTTTGTATCGTCGCATTCTTTCCCTCCTCCTCTCCCCCACCCTTACCGGGTTAACGGTAATAATAATAATAATAATAAAGATTAATTTCCGGATGTTCGATATTGATAAAAAAGAAATCGAAAGACGTACGAATAAATTGTAAAACTTTTACAAAAAGAAAAACGAATCCGTTTCCTATTTTGGACAAACCGGATATTGTAACAACAAAATGAACAAAAAAAAAAAAAACATTACAGGAAATGAGATAAAAAAAAAGAGAGAGAAATACAAGAAAAAACGGAAACAGTTCCAGTCATCGTGAAAATTTTAAAATTCAAAATTTTCAGAATGATAGAAAAACTCCGACAAAAAGTAAAAAAAAAAAAAAAAAGGGAAATTTGTCGTCGTTAAAATTGAAACGATGATAATGATGATAATAATGATGATGATTAAAATTTTTATAAATTCGTGGAAAGAAAAACCGTGAAAAAAAATATCATTCGTGATTATTTTCGAAACGAAAAAAAAAAATTTTTTATCTTTTTTTTAAATAGTTTCCGGTTTTGAAATTTTAGTTATAGCCATTAAAGTGTCAAATAAAAAAGTTTTTTTTTTTTGTTCCAAACAAACTATTTCCGGTCAGCGAGGGGAAAACTTGAAAAGAGCTTTAAAAAAAAACCAACGGGAAAATTTTTTTTTTTTTCCTCCAAAAAAGGAGGAAAATTTTAAACCGAAAAAAAAAATTACTTAACAGCATGAGAGCATCTTTTCGGTGCGGGGGAGGGGAAGGAGAGGGAAAAGAGGAGGTGGTTATGACGTCATTAATTATTAAAATGGCGCAAAAATTTTAAAAAAAAAAAACAAAAATTTTTTCATTCGTTATTTTTACCTCTTTAGATAATAAAAGAAAAAAAATTTATTTCCCATTATTTCCTTTGTTTTCTTTTTTTCAATTCAACGGATCAATAAATTCCTTTGAGAAAGAAAAAGGAAAAACAAAAAAAAAATGGGGTCAAAAATTAAATTCACTTTCGTTTTTTTTCCTTTTTTTCTTTTCCTTTGTCCCTCGTTACTACTCGAATAAAAATTTACAACTCTCGTTAAAATTTTCGCACAAAAAATTTCTTTTTTTCTTTTTTTTTTTTAATTATAATAATTTACAAAAGGAAAAAAATTTTTAAAAAATAGTAGAAGGAAAGAAAGAAAGGAAAAAAAAAGGAAAAAAAAGGAAAAAAAAATTTTTTTTAATACGTTTTGAAAAACGAAAAGAAAACATAAAATTGAAATTTAGAAAATGAACTTTAGCTTTGAGAGATAATTTATTCTTTCTTTGAATCCCCATTTTCCCATTTCCCTTTTTTTTCCTTTCCTTTTTCTTTCCTTTTTTTTTCTCATCGTGTTCACTTCCGTTTTTTTTTTCAGAAAAATTCCATTAAAACGTGTTTAATTTTAATCGCTTAACGTTTTTCCTTTTTCTTGTCTTTTTTTTCACTCCAAAAATTTTTTATTACGTATTTTATCGACTATTAATAATGACGTCATAGCATACGCACATAAAAATTAAATTTGTACTCTTTTCCGCCCTCCCTTCCTTCCCTCCATCCTTAACAATTTAAAAAAAATTTTTTTTGGGAGGGGAGGAGGGAAAGAAGGAAGGAAAAAAATAGGATGTAAAATTTTTCCTTTTAATAATAAATTCTCGTTAAAAAAAGAAAAAATCCGCCATTTTTAATTTTCCTCTCTATTTCATTTTTTTTTTCATCGATTTCGTCGTTATTAAAAAAAAAAAAAGATTAATATTAAAAGTTCAAAAGGTTAGTTTCATTTTTTTAAATGATTAAAAAAAAAAAAAAAAAGGTTTGTTGCCGTTTTTCAAAGGAAAAAATAATAATAATAATAAATGAAATATTATTGGGAGAAAATATAAAATAAAAACAAAATAAACGAAATTTTTTTTTTTAATATAACTCGGTTGCGTTCCTTCCTTCCCTCCCTCTCTCTCTCTCTTCCTCCCACCACCCCTTTTTTCATCCTACTCCATCCCTTTTAAAGGAAGTACCTTTTCAAAAAAAAAAACCTCGGAAAAGAAAAAAAAATCTTTACACGACTAAATAAAATAAAATGTGTATAATAATGAACGAATAATTAAATGATATGTACGCGTCATAATTAAAAATGACGTCACAAAAATTTAAAATTAAAAACCGTTAAAAACCGTT